GAGCTAACCGTCTACTCTGCTTCAGTCCCTGCATGGTAGTACAGATATGAGACCCACATCCAGTATCTAGTACCCATGATGAAGATATAGACATGTTAACTTCTATAACATACACCTCAGAAGAAATGGTCGTACCTTCCTTCTTCTTGGTTGCGAGGTATGTCTTGCAGTTTCTTCTCCAGTGGCCTGCCTTACCACAGTGATGACATTTGCCCTTTGCAACTCCTCCTATGGGTTTCTGGGTTGCAGATGAAGTGGACTTCGATTTAGGCTTTCCGACCGTCCTAGCCTTAATCTTAATCCCCTTCTTCGGCTTCCCCTTTCCGCCTTGGACCATAAGGACGGAAGCACCCTTGCCCTTAGTAAGGTTCTCCTCTGCAGTCTGGAGCATTTTAAGAAGCTCCGGAAGGGGTTTGTCAAGATCATGCATCATGTAGTTCATGACAAAACCCTTATACAGCTCAGGGAGCGACTGCAGGATCAGGTCCGTTGCCAGCTCCTTCTGCAAGGAGAACCCGAGTTTCTCCAGATTGGTTATGTAACCAATCATTTTGAGAACGTGCGGACCGACCAGGTTCCCTGAAGAGAGCTTGCAACTAAAGAGAGCCTTACTCACGAGAAAACGTTCATGCCTGGATTGCCCCTGGTATAGCTGTCGCAAGGCCACGATCATCTCATGGGCCTTCATGTCCTCGTTCTGTTTTTGTAGCTCGGTTATCATGGTAGCCAGCATGACACAGCTAACCTGGTTGTCATCCTTAACGTGTTTCTCGTAGGCATCTTTGACCGCTTTCGGGGCGTTAGCGGGAGGGGCAGGAGGAATGGGCTTTTCGAGCACATACTCTTTCTCATCCATGCGGAGAACAATGCAGAGATTGCGTTGCCAGTCAAAAAAGTTTGTTCCGTTCAATTTATCTTTATCCAGAATGGAACGCAGGGCGAGGTTGTTTGTGTTGTTGTTTGCCATCTACAGAATTTTGCGAAGATAGTTATTATCATGAATTAAGTATCTAATAGGTCTTTATTAAATACTCTCCCACTATTTCTAACAAGTCAACTACCCTCAGGTACGGAAGAGAATTACATCCAGAGTATAGAGATGAGGCACGACACACAAACCGTATTTAAAATTACAACAAATATAACTAAGCCACAATCATCCACCATGCAATAATACATACAAGCATCACATGCATCACATCATACATATTAAAGCATACACGGGGCGAACCGCGCTCGCCCCAGACCTAGTTTATTCTATTCTACGGAATAAACTATCAACAATAAATTAATTAAACTAGCAAGTAATTTAATTAAAAATCATAAAATACTTTAAATTTCCAGAATGTTAGAAATTTGATTTTCTAAATTCCAGAAAATAAAATATTTTATATTTACCGTATTTATATATATTTAAATTCAAAAAAGGGCTTTTATTTCGAATTAAATATATGTATGTTTTATAAATTAGCAAATAATTGTTGGAGACTCCCAGTAAACTTTATTAATCTGGAAATCCTAACATTCCAGAATGAATAAAACTTAAAATTTTGAAAACCATTTTTCAAAGATAGAAAACCGAAATTATATTGTGAAAATATATTTCGAAATTCCAAAAATATCGAAATTTATTTTCCAAAACAAAAATAAGTTCCAGAACCAGAATATGATTTTTCTAGAATTTAAAATATTTATTTTGCAATTTAAAATAACTAAAAATCGGACTAGTGAACAGTACCGATCCAATTACTTCAAAATACAAAATAAATACTTTTACGTGTTTAAAAATTATGAAAATTTTTATACAAGCTTAAAATCTCTGGTCGCAACTTATTATGAATTAAAATTAATTTGTGATCGTCAAAAATAAGTTTTCCTATTTTCTATTCAATAAACGAATTTAAAATTCCACTGTTGGGAAACGAGGCTTGGATAACGCAGCGGAAAACAAAAATTTATAGTCCAAAACTCGATTCCACCCAAGAACAACTTACGTAAATTACTAGCTATAGTAAGAAATTTACCTTAACGGTGAAAACGAAGAACGGAGGAACGGTCGGGGATGGTTTTGAGGAGATGAACGTAGCGCCAAACGTATGAAGCCTCCAACGTATCCACACGAACTTGCTCCGGAGTCCAAGATTAAACTTGTGCTAGCAAGTTTAATATAGGATAGTAAAAACTATAAATATATAGTAAAATATTTATCTTATAAATATTTGTTTATAATATTTTGTGTATATTTCTAACACTTTAAAAAAATAACTTTGAACACAAATTTAATTTTCTTCTCTCTAAAATTGGGATGGCCGAAAATTGAGGTGTTTATATTAAAAATCAAGACTTCATTTTATAATAAAGCATATT